GCTAATTTGGGGGGACTGCAACTCCCAGAATCCCCTCCATTTGCCCCATCACTGTTAGGAGATTCTCGAAGGAGATTCTTTATCTTTCCGATGATCAAGCCTCAGCCGGAGGCAGTACAGGAAGTCTGTTCTTGCTGTACAGCAAAATGTTTTCACTTTTCAAGCAGCTCATTAAGGGAAGCACGAGTTCGAAAGTCGAAAATGTGATTTTAAAAAATTCAGTGGCAGAGAACCAAGTGCAGGGTTGCCATCATTCTCTCCCACAAAACTGGGACAAAAGTATGCAAGACAGGATTGGGGTGGTTTATCAACACACACACCCAAAATAAACGGCCCTATAAAAAGCCCTCCACATCCTACATTTTGATATTAAACATTGCATACAGTCAGCCTCCCATATCCATGGGTTCAACCAGCCATGGCTTCAAAATATTCCAAATATAGACATTCCAAAAAGCAAACCTTGATTTTGCTATTTGATCTAAGGGACACCATTTGATTATGCAAGTCTATATAGCGGGATTTGAGCATCCGCAAATTTTGGCACCCGAGGGGGACCTGGAACCAAACCCCCACAGATGCACCAAGGTCTCACTGTATTTCAGTTTTTCTTTATTTATATATTGCCATCAATTTACATTCTGGGATTTGTAGTTTGTTGCTTCAACCGGCCCAGAAGGGACATTTTTCAAATCCTTCAATCTGGGATTTTCCTGCAATATCCCTTATTTTCCTGCGTATAAGACTACTTTTTAACCTGCAAAGCCTGTGGTTAAAGTGTGTGGGGGGGGTCGTCTTATACGCCGGGTATAAAGATAAGGAGAATAGAGGTGCTAAAGCTCTATATTTTGACTGGGAAAATGGGGGGTCGTCTTATACGCCGGGTCGTCTTATACACCGGAAAATATAGTATTTGGAATATTTTGCCCAACTGGGTGCTTTCTCTGAGCTCCGTAAATTGTGACCTAAGACGTTTGTGGTTTAAAACTACCCTACAAAGTACCAACAAGAGACGTTCCTGGGACCCTTTCAAAGAAGAAAGCTGTTAGGGGTTTTTAATGGATAATTAAAACCTAGAACATCTGGATCCCCTGGAGATCTGGGACGGGGGCCCCACACATAGCATCCTCATGAGACAGCTGCCTTTTGCCCCCAATTTCCACCAGATCCCTCTTTTTGGGGATTATCATCTCCACCGGAGCAGGAGGAAAGATCCTAAACTTGCTCAGAGGCACAGTGCGGATTCATGTGAATGCATAGAAATTCCCAAAATAATATCTCCGCAAGCCAGAGGCAACAATTCTCAGGACTCCCGTTCCAGTTTAATATCACGCAGACACACCCCGATATAAACACCAGTTTTAGCATCGTAAACTCTGCAGCTCTCGCATTGAGCAAGACCTCCCCCTTTGTTTAGGGACAATAATTCATACAATGCGCTACGCTTCGCATGCGCCTCTTTACAGTGGCGCCTCTGGTTAAATCTGGACTGCATCTGCCCTGCAGAAATAATGCACTCTGACGCTGCTTTAACTTCCTATGGAAACAGGGTGACCCAGATGTCCTAACCGCAAAGGAGGACAAGACACTGTAAAATGTACAATATTCAAGAAAAATGGAGGGCGTCCCAAAATAAAAGCTAAAAACACTTATACGAATGTAAATGTGTGCTTCTTAGTCATGCTCAAAGTAGAGGACATTTTGGAATTCCTCCTGGCCAAGAGGTTGAAATGTAGGGTATGTCCTGGAAAAGGAGGATGTCAGGTCACCCTATATAGAAGTGCATTCCTATGTATTTTCTATTATGCATCAGAATAGAATTCCTATTCCAAAATGCTATGGGCTTTTTAGTCTGTTTTGGCACCAGAACTCTCTGGCAAAGAAAGCTAAATATCTCACAAAACCATAAATCCCAGGATTTCATAGCGTTGAGCATTGCAAAATGGTACTGAACCTAGGGTGACCAGACTTCCCTCTTTTTCCAGGACGTGTCCTACATTTCATCAAACCTCCTTCATTTTGAGCATCACTAAGAAGCATGCTTTTACATTTCTATGGGTGTTTTGAGCTTTTATTTGGTCATGCCCTCCTTTTTTTCTTGAACGTCCTACATTTCACAGTGCTTTGTCCTCCTTTGTGGGTCAGATGTCTGGTCGTCCTGAGTCAAACTGCTTTGTTTCTGCAGTTGCAGCTGCAGCCTAGAACTTGGACAAAGGGCTTTTTAATACAATGCAGTGTAGATGCAGCCTAGAACTTGGACAAACTTTTTATTACAGTTCCCATAACCCCCCACTTCCAGCAGCACTCGGTATCAGGGATTCTGGGAGTTGTAGTCTCCTCCACCTGAAAGATAAACTTTTCTTTCTTTTCCCAAGCTCTGTCCCTGCATGGGAGCCAAGCCAGCCTTGCAAAGGGGCCAAAGGTGGACACTGGGCTGGAGGAATATTTATAAAAAGCAGGACTGGCGTCATTTCCCCAAAGAGCCTCAGCCATCAGCACCAGGGCCCCCGCCCAAGGCCAGGAAACCAACTCCCATCGCCCCCTCGCTTGCTTCCGCATCCAGAGCAATGCTCCCTTCCTCGATCTGCTTTGCTGCCCCAGATGTAGCCTTGAAATCCTGCAGAAATGCACACCCTCCCCATTGAATTCAAACCAGCACCTGCCAGCCCTCCATGTGTCCTGGGAAATGGGCGCAGGGGGGAAATATCCGAGTCTTTGTCTCTCTTTGGATGCCAAAGTCACCTTAGGGACAAAAGGGACCCTTGTTCTGCAACTCACATTCTGTGCATCCCTTTTGCTGCGGCCGCTGTGTCCGACTTATGGCGACCCTAATCGTGGGGTTTTCTTGGCAAGATTTGTACAGAGGCAATCACGCCATTGCCCTCCCCTGAGGCTGAGAGAGTGTGACTTGGCCAAGGCCACCCAGTGGGTTTCATGGCTGAGCCCGGAATCGAACCCTGGCCTCCAGAGTTGTGGTCCAACACTCAAACCACTACGCATCCCTACATATGCTCTTTCCAGAACTTGTGAAGTTCTTTTTTTTTTTTAAAGTACAATTTAAATTTTAAAAAGTACAAAGTACAAAAAGTACAATTCCCAGTATCTGGCATTCAACAAAGATAGGATTTTAGACAGAATTTAGGAAGATCCACGTTCGAGTTCTGACTGGGGTATAAAATTCCCGGATGGACACCACTTTAACTGCCACGGCTCCATCCTAGGGAGTCCTGGGATTTGTAGTTTCTTATGGCACCAGAGCTCTTTGACAGGGAAAGCTAAACATCTCACAAAACTACAGATTCCAGGATTGCACAGCACTGGGCCATGGCAGTTGAAGCAGTGTCAAACTGCATTTATTTCTGCAGTGCTGATTCAATGTGCATCTGCACCATAGAAATAATGCAGTTTGGCACCGCTTTAATTGCCACCGATCTATCCTACAGAACAATGGGATTTCTAGTTTTGTGAGGCACCAGTGCTCTTTGGCAGAGAAGGCTTAAGACCTTGTAAAACTACAAATCCCAGGATTCTGTAGGATGGAGCCAGGACAGTTAAAACGGTACCAAA